AGGTCCATCATCAACTAAAAAAATTTTAAAAAGGAAAGTGGAAACAACCCAAATGTTTATCATTTGAATGAATGGCTGAATCCTCAAATAGGCTAAATGAAAGAAACAACTCACAAAAGGCCACAAATTATATGACTGCATTTATATGAAATATTCAGAATAGGTAAATTCATAGAGACAGAAATTAAATTACCTATTTCCAGAGCTGGGTGAGGGAAGAATGGGGAATGACTGCTAATGGATATGGGGCTTCTTTTACAGAGTAATGAAAGTGTACTGGAATTAGTGGTGATGGTTGCACAAGCTTATAAATATAATAAAAACCACTGAATTTATGGTATGAGTTATATCTCAATAAAAAGTTGCATAGGAGACTGGGCACATATCCCAGGGATAAAATGTGTATTTAGCACTCACAAGGCCACAAGTTTGATCTCAAGCATCACATTAACAAAAGAAACAAAGTTGCGTGGGGATAATAAACACTCAATTCAGGAGAGTCATTACCTGGGGGCACAGGGAGAGGTCATTCGTGGTGGGGCACACATGGGTCTTCAGTTACACAGTAGTTCTCCTCTTATCCAGGTTTCACTTTCCATTGTTTTAGTTACTTGTGGTCAACAGTGGTCTGAAAATATTGAACAGAAAAATTTTAAAATAACAATTCATAAGGTTTAAATAACTTTTATTACAATACATTGTTAGAATTTCTTCATTATTACTTAATAATCTCTTACTGTGAATTTCTTCATTATTACTTAATAATCTCTTACTGTGCTTAACTTATAAATTAAACTTTACCATAACCATGTACATAAAGGAAAAATACAGTTTAAAGAGTTTGGTACTATTTGTGGTTTCAGGCATCTGCTGGGAGTCTTGGAATACATTCTCCCCAGATAAGAGGGGATTACTATATTAGCAATGTTTTATTTCATAATCTGTATAGTAGGTATGTGGGTGTTCATTACATTAATATTTATATCTTTTGCAATGTTATCATAATTAACAAAAGTTAAAAATTATTTACTGAGTTTAGACCTAGATTAAGCACTGAACTACGGGGGGTGGTTCAATGAAGAGTAAAACCAGTTCCCATCCTGTCCAAAAGTAAGTGGAGAAGTAATAAGTATAGAAAATAGTATAAGTAAGCCATTTTACTTCTGGGCTTCTCTTTGCTCACAAAAAAATGAGAGCTAGATTAGAAGCTTGTAAGTAGAAGGTCTCTGAGGATCCTGCACCCAAGATGTGTGTGTCCCCTTTGTCAGCCCATAGCCCCTCCACGAGTTCATCATGTACAATGAGAGCATGGCCCTAGAGCCATTCCTGGTGCCATCAGTCACTGAGAGCGGGCCTAAAGCAAAGTCCCAGTCTCTAAGTCTGTGTCTTCTCAGTAAAATAAGAACAGTAACTTTTCCCTCCCAGCACTGTAGGAGTGTAAATGAGATAGCACATATAAAGTGTCAGGACAGGCCTGGCACACAGTAAATCCTCAACACATGGGAGAGTCCTCACTTTGATTCCACAGGCATTTCCTGAGGAGCACCACTGGGCCAGGCCATGCTGGGGGACAGAAGGCAGAGGAATTCCACTGTGAAAGGCCAAAACAGTGGCCTCCAGCCATCTGGGGAGATATTCTCATAAATAATGATGCCAGGCAGGGTGTTGTCACTTGCTAAAAAGAGATAACAGGCATGTGCACAGATGCAGAACACGTGCAATGCAGACATTGGGAATGGGAGGTGTCCCAGTCAAAAGGCCCAGTCCAGACTTGGAAAGAGGCTCTCACGAGGGCAAAAGCAAGGCACAAAGTTAAGGGACAGATTTCCATTCATACTGCAGTGCAGCCCTCCTTGTATTTTTTTTTCACCTAATTTATACTCCAATGTTCCCACAAACTCTAGAACAGAGATGTCAATGAATTCAACAGTCAGCTTGGGAAAGTATGAGTTCATGGACATTGTAAGGTAGGGGGGTGGGGAGGCAAATGTCTAACAGGGCCAAGCAGTCTTATCTGGCAAGTCAGGACACTCTTCAAGCCTTCACTTCTCTCACTGTAAAATGGAGACGACAGTCGGGAGCAGTGGCACATGCCTGTAATCCAAGTTCAAGGCTACCTCCACAATTTAGCAAGACCCTGTCTCAAAATTAAAAATAAAAAATTAAAGGTCTGGGGATGTGGCTCAGTGGTAAAGTGCCCTTGGGTTTAATTCACATTACCAAAAAAAAAAAAAAAAAAAGAGAGAGTGAGAAAAAGAGATGCACACAAACCATAAGACTACTGATCTTATACAGTAGCCCCCCACTAGGATTGTGGCTAAAAGTGATGTAATGACTGTAAAGTCATTAGCCAAGGACCTGGAACTTAATGACCAGATCAATGAAGAGTAGTTAACATTAGGAAAAAACAGATTCCATTTTGAAAATGAGGCAAGTAAGATTCAGAAGTGAGATGACCTGCCCATAATCACAGTGGTAGGTTGTGGAGTGAGGATTTACATCCAGATCTGGGACACCAAAAGCTCAGTGCATCATCATCTCCCTCTGCTCCAGAATCTACAGGTTCCCTGTAGTCCAGTAAATGGAATCCATCCTTGCCATGGAGTAAGGACCCAGCAAAGGCTTGGTGCCAGAAAGACCCTAGGTAAGTTCCCTCATCCTGAGTTTCTTTTATTTTTTTTAACTTTGTTTATTTATTTTTATGTAGTGCTGAGGATTGAACCCAGTGCCTCACATGTGCAAGGCAAGCACTCTGCCACTGAGCCACAACCCTAGCCCTTATCTTGAGTTTCTTGATCTGAGATTCCCAAGAGGGTCTGAGAAGATCTGGGGATTCCTCCACATAGTACATGCAAAATTTTGTGTCTAATGAAGATTCTTGAAGGAATCTAAGTATCAAAATTAACAAAACACTTGACTCACTTTGTATGCTTTCTTATCCATTCAATGGAGAAAACAGAATTTATCTTGAAAGACTGAGGACATTAAATGAGATAATTTGTGAGAAGTACCTGAAACATCCTAAATTCTCAATAAACATCAGTATCCAGTCATCCTCCCTTCCTAACCTATTTCCATCATTCGTCAAATGTTATTGAGCATCTATTATGTGGCAGGAACCATTTCAGGTGCTGGGAAAAGTGTGAAAAGTGGTGAAAAGACAATATTGGCTCGATTTTGATGGAGCTCACATTTCAGCAGAGGGAAACAACAGACAATTAAAAGTAATAATTTCAGGTACTAATCACTATTAGAACACTCACAGGGTTATGTAATACATATTGGTGGGGTGGGATGGGGTGGCATCTAAGGAGAAAACACCTGAAAGACAAGGATATTGGTCATGCCAGTTGTAGGGGCAAAGCATGTCGGTACAGGGAGCAAGAAAGGCAAAGCCCTGCTAAAAAGACCTAGACCCACCACAAACTGGGTCACTTTGAACAAGGCACTTAACTTCTGAGGTTCAGCTGCCACACCTACAAAATAAGAATTATTTATCTGCTACAATGTGAGGGGACTCAACCAAAGGGCTGTTAAGGTCTGGAATCCTCCCTAAATCTCACCAAGAGATAACCCATACTGAAAGAACCCAGCCCAATAACTTTAGGCCCAGTAATAAATCACCAGGGCTTGCTTCCGCACCTGCACAGACGTCAGATGTATTTTTCAGAAAATCAGTTAAGTGTAAACGATTAAGAAAGGACAGGATGGTTGGGAAAGGAGCCGGCACGGTTGGGCAAACGGGATCATACAATGAAAAACCATACAATGAATAACAAATGGTTTTTATGTGGTTTTTCCAGGAACCTATAGTGAAAAACAAGTTTACCCTTTAAGTGACCTATATGCTGGATTCAAAAGAGCCAATGAGATACCTGTTACTGTGCTAGGAGGAAAACTGACCACTGTACCCTATAAAAGATCTGTACCCCAAAGCCCGGTGTGCCAGTTCACCGAAGCTCCGGCTGAGGTTTCTCTGAGCACCCGCAGGCGCCTGTGTATCAATAAATCGCCTCTTGCTTTTGCAGCCAGTGCCTCGTGCGTCTTTCTTGGACAGGGAATCGGCGGGTCTTTCAATACATGTCACTGGGCACCCATCTTGGAAGTGGGGAACCTGCACAGAAAACCCTGGGTCCCATTTTTAAATTTTTACATTCATGCTGTGTTAGAAATAACTTTTGTTTCTGGTTAATACAGCGACCTTTTTTTCCCTGTCAGTTGAGGACCGTTATAATACTACTTCATATCCCCCCTGAGGTTCAGAAACAGACATTTCGTGTAACTTAACTAAAATTCTCATTAGGTGCTTCAAATTGCAAACAATTGTCTCCTAACCTAGGGAGAAGAAACAGTTATGACGTTGGAGGCTGCCAGGAATAAGGTAGGATCATGAATCCATATATTAAAAAAATAAAAAATAAAAAACCTAAACTTCCCCAGATTCCGATGCAAGAGGCATCCGAAGAGTTTGAGAAACACTGGGTCACCCTCGAACACTCCTAACTTCAAAATTCCAGGAAAAAATGAAAATGCGTTCCTTCTGCTCTAAGGCTTGCCATACTGCTACCCTAGGTGAAAAAAATCAGGTGCGTTTTTCTGGAATTTGTCGGGTCTGGGAAAATAACCTGGGTTCCAATGCTGGCTCAGCGCCTAACAAGCCACAACGACCTTGTGTCGGTCCCCGCCCCTAAGACTCTCTTACCACGCCCACCCCCGCCCCTATCCCCCGGGTGTCCCTGAGATCGTGACTGTCCCATCTGAGCATTAGTTTCCCCATCTATACTAGACGTCGACAGCTCTGACGCTCTATGAACTGAGCATACCTGCAGCACCCCGCTGACCCAGCCTGACCCCTCCTTGTACTTCCCAAGTCCAGGTCTGCCTGAGTGCAGGAGAGAACCCTTAAAACTAAGATCGCCCTCACACGGACTGCCCCTTCCCGGCCGCCGTCCACCTCCACCGGCACTGGTCTCTTCCCCGCCCTACCCTTTAAGCCTAGCGGGGGCGGTCCGCGCAAGCGCACAGACCTGCCCCGAGACCCCGCCCCCTAAGTCTTGGGTAACTGCGCGAGGGGGCCTGAGTGCGGTGCGCGACGGGACCACGAACTAGTAGGTTGGGGCTCGGCAACGGCGGCTGGCGAGGGTCATATTTCCTCTGGAGGAAAGCTGTGAGGGAGGGGTCAGGCCAGCAATTGGAACGCAGAGAACTGGAGCTCTTGTAGCTCAAACCTATCTCAGGCACTGAGAAACTTGTGTCCAGTGACGGGGGTTGGGCTAGCGCGTGTTGATCCCAGATTTTCCAGATCGGGCGGGTGTCGGGGACACAGAGCTATTGAGACTAGAATCAGGGTTTAAAGGGAAAAAAAATTAAAAAAAAAAAAAAAACTGGGAGCGATTAGAAACAAACTTTGTTCCTGGTGGGAGCGAGCGGGCCAGTCAAGGACAAGCTAAGACGGGAGAACACGTCTTTGCCCAGAGCTCTGGGCAGGTACGGGCCCCGCCCTGGTGATAAAGTCCGACCGGCTTTCCTTGTGGGCGTTGGTGATTGACTTATTTAAGGTTCATTGAATGCAGTTGTAAGCGTTAGCATCAGCTAGAAACGTAACCAACACAAATGCATTTGCTGTGGTACCGAGAAAAATCAATGGACTGTAGAAGCCCTGGATAGAGAAGAACAGAGAAAGCTACCCAAACTAAATCAGAGTGGAGGGGAATGTTCCCAAGGGGAAACAGCACCTGCCAAGGCCTGGTACAGGGAGCAAGGCTGGTGCATCATGAAGATGCTTCATTCTGAATCTGGTTGGTGCACAGCGAAGAGAAGACGGTGGGCGGAGCTCTGCTACTAACAGTGGAGATGCACAGGGAAGAATTCAAAACTATGTATTTAGGCAGCAGAATCCACAAAGTTGGAGTAGAATGGAGAGAAGTACACGCGAGGCTTGGGTGCCAGGGTGAGGTTCATCAGAGAAGCAGATTTTTGTTGAGACAACAACAACAACAAAAAATTCTCTGGTTGTGTGGAGATTTCCAGGAAGTGTTGGATATTCGACTTTGACCATCAGGAAAGTACTGCTGTGAGAATATAGATTTGAGCATCATCAGCAAAACAGAAATAAGGCACAAGGATGGAGACTATAGATTGAGAAAAAAAGGTCCCAGTTAGAACTTTTCTTCGAAGTGATGGTCTTTTTTTATGATCCCAGTATCTAGCCTAAGGCCTGGCTTTACATGCAAATCAGTGTTTGCCAACAAAACAAAAGCCCAGCAGCTGACAGTTGGAATCCCATAGGTGTGGAGAGATGCAGACTAAGGGAGTGTCTTATTTCTCTAATGTCAAAGTCATGGGTTCTTGTCTTGGTTCTACTGCCTGGCTGCTATATGACCAGTTTAAAAAATTAAAAAACCTCAGGTGTAGAGCTGTGCTATGGTTTGGATACCTTTGAGTGTATCCCCAAGGGGTTCATGTATTGGGGGCTTGGTCCCCATGCCCAGTATGGTGATGTTGGGAGGTGGTGGGACTTTTTTAAAGATGGGGACCTAGTAGACCTGGGTTGTAGCTCAGTGGTAGAACACTTGCCTAGCATGTGTGAGGCGCTGGGTTAGATCCTCAGCACCACATTTTTAAAAATAAATAAATAGAGATATTGTGTCCATCTACAGCTTAAAAAATTTTTTTTAAAGATGAGACTTAGTCCTTATGTCACTGGGATAGCTGCTCTTGGAAGGAATTAAGATAGTATTTGTGGGACCCAGAGTTAGTTCTCAAGGGAGTAAGTTGTTATAAGAGTGAGCTTAGCTGAGTGTAGTGGTACATGCCTATAATCTCAACTATTCAGGAGACTGAAGAAGGAGGATCACAAGTTTTGAGGTCAGCCTGCACAATTTAGTCCCTTATATCAAAAAGCAAAAAGGACTGGGGATATAGCTCATTACATGTGCAAAGTCCTGTAGTCAATCCCCAGTACTGTAAAAATAAAAAATAAAGAGAGTGAGACTGTTTGGGTGCAGTACTTGTAATCCCAGCAACTCGGGAGGCTGAGGCAGGAGGATTACAAGTTTGAGGCCAGTCTCAGGAATTTAGTGAGACCTATGCAACTTAGTGAGACTTTGTCTCAAAATAAAAAATTAAAAGGGCTGGTGATGTGGCTCAGAGATGAAGTGCCCCTGGGTTCAATCCCCAGTATCAGAAAAGAGTGAGGCTAACCTCAGAATCACTTTCTTTGGCTCCCCCTCAGTTGCATTCCCGCCTTTGTAATGCCATCTGCATGAGGACCTCACCAAAGCCACTGCCATGTCCTTGAATTTCCAAAACTGTGAGCTAAATAAAGCTCTTTATAAAGTTATCCAGCCTCAGGTATTTCATTATAGTAACAGAAAATAGAATAACACAAGCACCAAACACTGCTGAGAAACTTCACACAGATTTTTCTCATTTAATCCATATAGTAAAGTTACTTATAAGGGAAATAATATTGTGTACTCAAACACAGGTCTGACGGACTCCAGAGCCTTGTTCTTTACTATGACTATTGTCATCTGTCGCCCAACAGGGGTGCCATCAGGGCTCTCTTGAGATCACATGCTCATTGTTTCAAAACATTGTGCTGAGGCCAGCAGACTTGCACAATTGGCCTAACACTAGCTCTGTCATGAGAAGGGGGCAGAGCTGAATGTGATGTAGGTTACCTCTCATTTACTGACTCTCTTCCTGGGAACCACTGAGTTGAGCAGACATGTTCTGCTCTCGAAATTAAATGACAATAGGTCGGAACAAAACCAGTGACTGGCAATTCCATTTTTATCTAGGGCTTTCTAGATTCCCAAGGCCTGATGCCAAATGAATGAGTAGCAAGCCGTGAGTTGGTACACCTCTGTGTGTCTTTGAGCAATCAGTCAGATTTCTTCTATTACACTAGGTACTTGGGTTTCTGCTTTTTGGTGTTTGTTTTTCAATTTGGTACTGGAGATTGAACCTTGGGCACTTTACCATTGAGCTGCATCTCCACCCCTTTTTGTTGTGAGACAGGGTCTTGCTAAGTTGCCCAGGGTGGCCTCAAACTTGTGATCCTCCTGCCTCAGCCTCCTGAGTCGCTGGGATTACAGGCATGTGCCATTGTGCTTGGTGGTTTCAGTCATTTCTATTCTGCTAATATGATTTCTCAAAAATATTTTCTCTTAAAAAATTATTTAAAAATATATATTTTTTCTCATTAGATGTTGTAATGATAGATATCTATACATAGAATGTAATTGTTTTCTCTTAACATGTTTGATTTTGATTAGTATGAGGGAGGAGTTCACCGTCTCTGCATTTCATGGTATTCCACAAAAGGTTCCCTCCCTGCCTCCTATGTAATTATTTGAGATCTGCTGACATGGGTTGTTGGAATAAGAAGGGAAATTAATCTACTGTAATGGTCCCCATCCCAAGAAGACCCATAAAAAATGTAAGCTTCAACCTCTTCCTCCTGTTGGACCTCTTTGAATCAGAATCTCTGGAGTAGAGTCTCAGAATATATGTATTTCTTGAAGCAACCTAGAATGTTTATCTACTTTTTTTTTTTTTTTTGGATGCTGGGGATTGAACCCAGCCAGGGCCTTGTACATGCAAGGCAAGTACTCTACCAACTGAGCTATATCCCCAGCCCTGTTTGTCCACTTTTGGAAACAACTCATTTCTCCCATGCTTCTGTTTTACAAACAGGGAATCTGTATCTCTAGGAAGGGAGGGAACTTGTCCCAATCACATATGACATTAATGCTTCTTTCTCCAACGAAGAGTATTAGGCTAGAGCATAGAGACCTGAGTTCAGGTCTAGGCTTTACCAGTCAGTACATTGGGCAAGACATTTCATTTTCAGAGCTCTATTTCCTTACTGTGAGAATAATGCCATTGCTGTATTAGAAATCAAAAGAGAGAATGGCCATAGAAATACTTGGTTAAGTTGTTTTGTGTATATGGAAGTGAAGAGCTGGGACTAGCCAGTGTTCACTTCTCTGTACCACAGTGTCTTTTAGGGTACCCAACCAAGGTATTACAGTGTTTCAGTGGTTGATGGGCCCCAGGCCATGTGTCACCAAGTTCTCTGTCACAGGTTGGGATGGCCACCAGCTGGGGGAGCCTCTTGCAAGATGAGCAGCTGCTGGAAGAGTTGGCTCGGCAGGCTGTGGACCGGGCCCTGGCTGAGGGCGTGTTGCTGCGGACCACACAGGAGCCCAGTTCCTCAGATGTAAGTCCTAGAGCCTCCCCACAACCTGACTACCCTTCTCCAATCCCCCTGCCCATTGCCTGGCCCTGCCAGACTGAGGGGAGATCTTTTGGCTCAGGGACCACATTTCTTTTGCTTTATTTTATTTTGTTCAATACTTAAAATTGTCCTCAAGACATACATAAAGTAAAAGTACAGCATGCTGGAGTAATCAAATTTAAATCAGGGGCTCAAAGTATGACTTAGGCAAGTTACTTAACTTCTCTCAGCTGCAAATAATGGGAGCTACCTAGTTGGGTAGGTAAAGAAGATAATTCACATAAAGCACTCTGTCTAGGGAGCAAGTATTATATATATATATATATATATATATATATATATATATATATATATATATATATAATGTTAGAAAGACTTCTAAGGGAAGTCTATACACACACACACACACATTTTAAGCTGTCAATGAACTTTTATTTATTGATACGTGGTGCTGAGAATCGAACCTAGTGCCTCACACATGTAGGCAAGTGCTCTGCCACTGAGCCACAACCTCAACCCAGGAGCTAGTATTTTTTAAGCCCTCCCTAATCACACTACCTTCTCAGTAATTGGGTTGAGATATATCCTTTCAAGTCTTTTTCTGTAGAAATTCATAGTTTAAAAAAAAACAAACTGGATCATACATATTATTCTGTGATATATTTTTGGTTTTTGTTTTTACAGACTCCCTTAGAAGTCTTTCTAACATCTTCCATAGAGTCAGTATCTCTCTGATGCATAGCATTCCAGATGTAGACGGGTCACAACTTAACTTTTCTCTCCTGTTGGCCATCTAGGTGACTTCTGATATAACAGATAACACAACAGGGCTAGGGTGAGGGTTAGGGTTAACTACAGAACACACAACAGGGAATATCCACATACATGCCTGTTTAGGCCCCTCTATAAGTGTTTCTTTAGGGTTGATATTTAAAAGTAGAACTGCTGAGTGCAAATCATATAATTTTTTTTTTTTTAAATCTCATCCTTCAGATGGGCATCTGAGCTTGTACCACCATGTCCCACTAGGCAGGCTGAGGCAAGAGGATCAATTGAGCCCACCAATTGAAGACCAGCTCGAGCAATATAGTGAGACCTCATCTCAAATAAACAAACAAAAACCCCTCATCCTTAAAAAACAAAACAAAACTTGTCTCTTTTGTTATTAGGTAATACATTTTCATAGTTCAAAGTTTAAAAGAACCCAAAATTCAAAAGTTATGAGTTTACAATTTAACCTTCCTTTCCACATTCCCTAGTTACCCAATTCCCCTATCCTGAAGGCAGTCTATGTTTTAGTATTTTTATTTATCCTTTCAAGTAGTTGATTCCTAAAGGTAAATAACTATATAGACTTTTTCTCATTTTTAACACAAAGAAGCTTTCTAGACAAGCTTTTTTGTACACTTTTGTTTTTGTTTTATTTGTTATTTTTGTTTTGTTTTGTTTTTGTGATACTGGGGATTAAACCCAGGGGAGCTCTACTGTTTTGATTAATTTTAAAAAATATTTCCTTTTTTTTTAACCTGCAAATGCCATAATTTTATTCTCTTTTAATGTTGAGTAATATTCCATTGTGTGTATGTGTGTGTGTATATATATATATCACAGTTTCTTTATCCATTCATCTACTGAAGGGCATCTAGATTGGTTCCACAGTTTAGCTATTGTGAATTGTGTTGCTATAAACATTTTTTTATTGATTTTATTATTTTTTTAAAATACATGACAACAGTGGAATGCCTTACAATCCTTATTATACATACAGAGCACAATTTTTCGAATCTCGGTATATAAAGTATGTTCATGTCAATTTATGCCATTATACCTGTACTTTTTTTTTGCATTACAATTCTTACTACACATATATACTACAATTTTTCATATCTCTGTTTGTATATAAGGTATGTTGACACCGAATTCAAGACTTCATACATGTACTTTGTATAATGATGGCCATCACATTCCACCATCCTTGCTAAAATATTTCCTTATTTACCACTTTCTTCTTTATTAACCACTTTGCTCCAAGTTTAGTTAATGGAATCATGGATTGTCTAGTCTCATGGCCTAGGAAAATTTTCCAGTTGCCTGCTGATATACTGCCATGGAGCCATTAATTAATAAGTTCCAAGTGAACCCTGAATTAGATACAGAAATTTGTTAAACAGTGATTATTTCTGAAAATGTAAAAAATAGATTTAAGGCAGATGGTAACCCTAAGAGTCGCTCAAGTATTAAAATGGCACTATGGAGGGGTTGGTAGAGTGCTTGCCTCATATGCACAAGGCTCTGAGCTCAATCCCCAGCAACACACACACACCAAAAAAAGCATCGTGGAAATGGTTCATAGCAAAAACCAATTTCCTTCCTTCCTTCCTTCCTTCCTTCCTTCCCTCCCTCCCTCCCTCCCCGTTGGTAGTTTCCTCTTTTTATAAATGCCAGGTTTGCGGGGCTGGGGTGGGAGGGGACTTGTTATAAAACTCTGTTTTCTGTTAGTTTGTGTGAAACCATTCATTCAATAGAGAACAGATTGGGGCAGGGAAACTGCCTGGTTAGGCCACATGGAGGCAAGTCCCCTCAAATAATCCACCAGAGGAAAAATGCCACATGACCTGCACCTATCCCCAGCAAGTCTAGATCCCTCGATTCTACTGTGTGCCTGGAAAGATAGTAAAAATATTTCTACAAGAGGTAAAGACTACAAGGAAGTTACAAGCTCACTCTATGAAATGGCTTGGAAAAGTATGAAAATGGCTTGGAAACAGAGCACTGCCTGTTCATTTTAGCAGCTTTTTTTAAAAACTAGGGCAATCTATTTATCATGCACACACCACAGAAAAATTATCCCCAAAAAATGTCATGCAGAAAATTTAGATATATAATAGAAAAATACAGACCCAAAGTAGACAAAAATATGAGTTATGTTAACAAATATGCAAAATAATTTCACTATAAAATATCTCGATTTGCATGTATTAATATTTCGTATGAACCAGATCTAATTGCTCTGATAAATCTCTACTTACATGTTTTAGAATATCTATTTTTTTAAGCCATATAAGTTGTATTCATGTATCCATGCATAAGCTATCCTGCTTATGAAGCCAAGATACTATAAGATTAATAAAGTAATTTTTAAAAAATCTCAAGTCACAGATTAACAATGTATCCTCAAGTTTTCTGAACTATATGCTATTAAAAGTAACCTGTGTTCATGCAATCTGCCTTTTCAGATGTAAATATAAGTCAATGATTGGTTGTCAAAAGCAATAGTGTTAGAAATCCTAAGTCAAATTATTCATAGGACTGGATCATAATATGTGCTTTAAACTGACATACTAACTTTGCAATCTATATTTTGTGAGAGAACAGGTAATTCTAGCACCTAAGGAACTATATCATATGGAATGGAGATGACCTCAGTGGCAGTCTTCCACTTTGGTTTATCCAGGTTATTGCTTTCAGTCCTACATTGAGGCCCCCTTGTATATCAGTTTTTAATGTGTCCCCAGCCATCTCCCAGTCCCCAGGCTAGTATGGGCCAACTGGAGAGTCCAGACTCAGTAATATGACCCAAGCATATGAGAATGGCCATCATCTAAAGCGGGCTGATACTGTAAAAGGCCTGCCTCTGGCTTTGGCAATAAAATTCCTTGGTTTGTGAGCCTAGATTTGGTGAATTGTTTGCCTGAATCTAGGATGCAACATATTTTCCCATTTAAGCCTTTATTTCTTCTGTTAATAAATAGGTTTATGTAAAGCTCCAACACTTAGTCTTTCTGGGAATTAATGGAGCCTAGGAAAGGCACAATCCTCAATGAGATTTCTTCTTTTTTTTTATTAGTTGCTTATGACAATACAATGATCTTGACATACCATACATTTAAACAGGAAGTGTGTGTGCATATGTGTGTGTGATTTCATTCCAAATCTTTTTATGTTTTTGGTTTTTCTTTTGTGGTGCTGGGGATAGAACCCAGGGCCTTCTGCATACAAGCACTCTACCAACTGGGCTATATCCCCAGCACTCATTCCATATCTTTACCTGTTGCCTGCTCTATGTCAGATCATCCTAGATACTGAGAGCAGAGGTAAGTCAGCCAGAAGCCCCAGCCTTTGGAGCTCAGGGTTTATTTGGAGAACATACCCAAAACGAAATTAAATAATGTCAAAATTAAATATGAGAAAACATAGTTGTACAATATTAGTATTTACTGTGTCATGCACTATTCTAAACACTTGGGAATTGCTGACTCATTTAACAGAGATGAGAAAACCACAGTCCAGACAAGTTAAGTAACTTGCCTGAGGTCATTTAAATGGTGGAATAATTGGCAGAGCCAGAATTGAAACCCAAGAGGTTTGGCTTCTGAGACCACGCTCTGAACATCTGAGCTTTACTGCCTCTCTTAAGACACCTGGAAGAAGAAGTAATTTATTATGATTAGAAGGTTGAGATGAGGGGTGGTATTGCTAGATCTTAAAAAACAGATGGGGGAAAGAAATAGCATAGCAGGGGCCCAAAAGTAGGCAAAGACAAAAAAGTATTCAAGAGAATGTAACTGAAAGGCAGGAATATTGTAGAAATGAAGGCAGGCCAGTTCAGATCGCCAAGAGGCACTGAATGCAGGGTGGAGTAGGAGTGTGAACTTTACCTTGTGGATCTGGGCTGCAGGCCAGCCACTTGCAAGTCAAAGATTTGGCTCCTACAGTGTTTTGAGTTAATGCAGTTTTTGAATAGGTAATACATGAACAGGATACAAAATTCAAAGGGCTTTAAGGGTACAGTAAGTCTCTTTCTTCCAGAGACAGGAATTATTAACAGTATTTTGTTTTTAATCAGAGTGTTTAAAAATCAGAGCTAACATTAAAAGAAAAAAGTCTTGGGGAAGAGGGGTGGGGGGCACCTACCCAGCCTGTCTCCTCATCACATTTCCTGTTACTCTCTGTTGCTTTCCTGACTGCAAAGCAGAATGCTGTTTTCATGCCTGTGTGATAGTTTTTCTAACAGTAGAACCATGTTATTCTATGTTCTTGTCTCCTGAAAACGAGATATCAGGTGTTTATACCTTTAGCTTGTGGGCAGCAGAGAACACATGTGCGCCATTAATCCAAAAATTCAAGAGGGCAATAATGAATCCTGGGGTCAGAGCCAGAGGGAAGTCTTTATCAGAAAAACTTGAGTTTTTTAACCAGCTGGAGGTGTTGAGGAAGGCAATCTTCTGACTCTTAAAGACAAGGAAATGCCCTGTAGCCATCACATATACACTCAGGATATTAGATCACCCTTTACATAATCTGCAGTAATTCCCGTTTTAGATCATGAAGCCCTCAGGCTGAATAATCCTTACTCTTACAAATATCCTTGCTCAGTTTTGTCTTAAAAATAAATACTGAGGGGAGTTATTTGGGAATTATCTGCCAAAATTTAAAATGGATTTAACCTAATTACCTGACATTTCCACTTTTAGAAATTTAGAATTTATGAAACTTCTCGCATAAAATACGTAGAATATGTATTCCAGGATGTTTATTAAAGCATTGATTGTAAAAGAAAAAATGAAAGAAAACCCTCAAATAGTCATCAACAGGATGCTAGATTCAATAAGTTATGCTGTATCCAAAGAATTGGATACTATACAACCATTAAGATGAATGTAAGTGCTTTAATTATTTAAGGAACAATGTATGTAGGTATTTTATGTGTATAAAAAAGAGAAAATATATTTGCATACATATGTATTAGTAAATAGATGTATGGAAGGATATGTGAGGCACTAGTATACCATTTGTCTCTATGAAGAACTAGGTGACTTGGGCGCGAGTGGGAATGAGACACACTTCTCACTATGAATCCTATGTATCTTTTAAATGTTGTATGATGTGTTTGTATTATCTATGTCAAAATAGTAGTATTTTTAAAGTAAACATATAAATGCCAAATTGTAACATCATAAACTTATACTACCGTTAACAACAAACTGATATTAACTCAAAGGTTAAACTCAGGAATGCTTCATAATTCAAGTCACAAAGTCTTCTTATCATCTTACCCAAGTTCCACTTCATTGTTGCTGGGAATCCTAGAATGCATTTTTCCCCATAGAAAGTATTTGAGATGGTTTTGGGTTTTTTGGTTATGTCAAAATCCAAAGAACCCAAAAAGCAGATGAACTCTAGGCCTGTTAACCTGAGTGCCGCAGGAGGAGTCAGGGGGAACCACTCCTGGCTTCTACTCAGGGATCCAGAGTTCACTTCTATTGCATCCCCACTAGCAGAACTCTTCCTCTACCCCAGCCAGAAGAGAAGAGGACTCGGGTGCAAGTTCTTGGCATAGGAAGAGGCCTGGGCTTGAATATCAACCAGCTAGGAATTCATGGTGGCAGGGTGGACTTGGTTTAGTAACCATCCTGATTCACATCGTAGTACTACTTACCAGATGAATATCTTTTTGGACCTATAACTTAGGTCCTTTATCTGTTAGGTGTGATAATAGTAGTGTCTTTCTTACAGTGTTAAGTGATGAATTCCTGTTATGGATTCATCCATGTTACATGTGCCTTACAAACAATGAATGCTTAATCATTTTTGTGGGTTTGTTTTTGTTTTGCTGTTGCCTTTTTGCTTCTTGTTTTTTAAAACATTTAGAGGTAAATTGTGACATAATCTGGAAGCTTTCTTAGTATCCCTTCCTCACCCTTTTCCCTATCTCCCCTCCAAGAGCTAATCACTATTTTGCAATTGGTATGTTCTTAATAAATATAGGCCAGGCTTTGCATGGGGTTGTGTTTGCAGGAAGACACCCCATTTACAGGTGCTCTAACCATTCCCTGCTTTCTCTCATTGATCAGGTGGTGAGCTATGCCCCTTTTACACTCTTCCCCTCACTGGTCCCCAGTGCCCTGCTGGAGCAGGCCTATGCTGTGCAGATGGATTTCAACCTGCTAGTGGATGCTGTCAGTCAGAACTCTGCCTTTTTGGAGCAAACTCTCTCCAGGTACCGGGAAGTGAGGCTTGGGGATCCAAGAGCTGCTAGAAGCTGCTAGAAGCTCTTGGAGGTTCAGGAAGCTGCTGGAAGACTGGGGTTACATGAGATGTTGCTATGTTAGTGACTTGGGGTAAAGGTCAAATATCCCACAGGAAAAACAAGCAACAATAGTATAAGAGTCAGGAAAGCTAGCTTCTAATCCTGGCTCTACTGCTTATTTATATTACCTCACAAAAGACCCTTTCCTTCTCTGGGCCTCAATATCTTCATCTAAAATATGGGAGTTTGTCTTAAATCTAAGGTCCCTGACAGTGCTAACATTCTGTGACTCTGTAATCCATGACCACCACTTTGAAGAATGAAATTTCCATTTAGAATTAGGGACAATTGGCCTAGTTTTAGAGGAAATTCAAGGATAGGGAAGATTATTGGGCTTAAAGTGAGATTTCCTATATCTTCCTCTAAGCAGCGTCCCTATTTTGTCCCCTCAGGCCTCTTACCTTTGGGTAATATAGGATAAAGACTGGGCCACACTCAGGACAAGAGGAAACAACCCCTGAAATGATTCACCCCACTTACCCATTTCTGTTTCTTCTCCCTAGATTTTTTTTTAAATTTATCTTTTTTTCCCTCTCCCTAGGTTTTTTTGTCCAGATTCTTGGATAAGTGAAATTTCTTGATTTATTTTAGAATGAGATACAAATAAGTCCGTTATTTTATCAGAGCATGGTAACACATGCCTGTAATCCCCACTATTTGGGAGGGAAGCAGGAAGCAAAGAGTTCAAGGCCAGCATGGGCAATTTAACAAGACTCTGTTTCAAAATAAAATAAAAATGGCTTAAGATGTACTTCATGGTAGAGCAATCCCCATTATCTCTCTCTCTCTCCCATGTACTCTCTCTTACACAGCATTTATATTTTTAGAATTAAGTATATAAATATGATAGATATAATTGCAATTATGATACATAATTGCATGTCTTTGATTAATTTTTCTTTTTAAAAATATTTTTAGTTGTAGATGGACACAATGCCTTTATTTTATTTATATTTATGTGGTGCTGAGGATCGAACCCAGTGCCTCACATGTGCCAGGTAAGTGCTCTACCACTGAGCCATAACCTCAGTCCTGATTAATGTTTCAACAGACAACTAGGTTATTTTGTTAGAGACAAAAATCTAATAACATGCATTTGGTGTGTGAGTGAGTCTGATAAGGGATCTTAATGATAAAGAAGTTTGGAAACTATTGACTTGGAGCCAAAAACCCGATGAGTCATGCATGTATGAACCCTACCACTACCTTCTTTCTCAGAATGGGCCCAGCTCTGTACCTGAATTGTGGGATATATAAACAGCCTGGCTCATGGCTTTTACCCTAACCATGTGATTATGTGGGAAATCTTCCCTCCAGCCCATCTCTGTAACCCCATCTTCCTTGTTCCTTTCTCCTCTAACACACACACAACACCCTAGCTCCTAAGGAGAACAGCCTCTTTGAGCTTGGGATTGAAAAGGAATATATCTTCAGAAAAGGGAAAATGTTTCAAAGTTTACCTGGAGGCACTGGGCACTCTCCTCCTCACCAAGGATTGAGATAGTCCCAGTGAGAAAACTAACCCTTGTGACAGAGCTGACCAGGAGCAGAGGAATTTCAGGGCATGCCTGAGGTACTTGGCTCCTCCCACTCTCTGCAGCAGGGTCTCTATAACTAAATGAGCCTACAAGTCAGGCTTGGGCAGGCCAGCAGAGTCCACCCTGAATCTTGAGAGGCAATAAGTGTCATATTACCGAGCTGTATACTCCTGCCTGTGCCTTTTCTTAAGGCTCCAGAAAGCCATAGTGGATGGGTGCCTACTACACATGTCACAGCAGCACACTGAATTATGCCCACTAAGACACAGTCCCACCTTTGTGTAGTTTATAGACCAACAGGAGAGGGCTGGGGATGTGGCTCAGTGGTAGTGCACTTGCCTAGTATGCATAAAACCTTGGGTTCAATGCCCAGCATGACAAAAGGAAAAAAAAAAAAAAACAGGAGAGATGACACTAATCACTATATAAATAAAATGGAAAGTTGCAATAGCCATCAATGCGGTAATAGAAAGGTGCTGTGAGAGCACCTAGCAGGGTGATCCGATCCAGGTAGCAAAGGTTCCTCTGAGGAAATCACCTCATCTGAGGACTGATTGAAAAAGAAACCAGGATATTTAGTTTGGGTTTGTGAAATCTTACTGGAACATACGGGTCACTGTCCTCAGAGCTCTTGTGGACAGGGAGAAGAAAATGTGTCCTGGGAGGAACCAGAGGGTAGGGGAAGCTATGGAGAGGTAACATCAAGTCAGTCAGAAAGCTTACTAGCCATTAGAGTTCTTCAAGTATTTGAATAGTAGTTATACCACGTCATTTTTTTAAATATATTTTTTAGTTGTAGATGGACACAATACCTTTATTTTGTTTATTATTTTTTATGAGGTACTGAAGATTGAATCTAGTTCCTCACACATGCAAGACAAGCACTATACCACGCCACAACCCCAGCCTATCACATGCCATTTTTTAGTTCTTTTTTGGGACCAGAAGAATATATTCAATTTTTTGCATGTAATGTCTCATTTACTCTTCACCACAACTCTATAAATACAATTATTTTTCTTTTCATTTTATAGTTGAATAAACTTAGATACAGAGAGGCAAAAAGAGTATGAGGTTGCCTAATAATAGGTGATAGACCTGGGATTCGAACCTGGGTCATCTGGCTGTAGGGTTGAATTCTTAACCATTATTCTTTTTTTTTAATATCTTTATTTTATTTTTATTTATTTATTTATTTATTTTTTATTGGTTGTTCAAAACATTACAAAGCTCTTGACATATCATATTTCATACATTAGATTCAAGTGGGTTATGGACTCCCATTTTTACCCCAAATACAGATTGCAGAATCACATCGGTTACACATCCACATTTTTACATAATGCCATATTAGTAACTGTTGTATTCTGCTACCTTTTTATTTTATTTTTATGTGGTGCTGAGGATCGAACCCAGTACCTCATGCATGGTAGGCGAGCACTCTACCTCTGAGCCACAACCCCAGCTCTTAACCATTATTCTTTACAAGATTGGAATGGGTATTCAAGTTTTGGCCAGAAGACCCATAGGGGATTCAGGGACCAGTGAATGGGAGCAAGATTCCTTGATCTTTAAGGTCCCAGGTAGCCTGGAAAATGTTCTGTTTCCTCCTCCAGCACCATCAAAATGGACAACTTTACTGCTCATCTCTTTGACATCTACAAACAAGTCTTGGGAGAAGGCATTGCCCAGGTAACCATTCCCAGCTCCTCCCCAAGTCTGGGACCTGCCCTCTCATCTCTCGTGTTTTGTTTTGCTCGTTTTTGTTTGTTTTGTTTTTACCAGAAGAATTTGGCGCAGGCCTTGATTTCATGTGGATCTATCTCTCACTGGTCCCCACTGAGTTTGTACATCCCAGCAATTCTGGGATGACCAGAAGAATGATCCTGCTGGGTTTGGGAATATTAGTTAGTGCATCTTACCTCTACATGGAGTTCATGGTACCTGTCTGTCTGTAACTAAATTATAAGAGGCAGCCCTTGGGCAGATGCCTCAGCCTTCAGTTTTTCCCACAGACTGTGTTCCTGAGTCTGAACCGCTCAGACTACATGTTCCAGCGCAGCGCAGATGGCTCCCCAGCCCTGAAACAGATTGAAATCAACACTATCTCTGCCAGCTTTGGGGGCCTGGCCTCCCGTACTCCAGCCGTGCACCAGTAGGTTTCTTGGGTGGCTGTGGGCCAGCCTGATGGAGGTTCAATCACTGGTTGAACCAGGGATCTCCATGACTGTGCCTTCCTGGGCCCTGGGTCATGGATTCTCCCTACCTACACACATCCTGTGTCCTGCAGCACAGTTTCCACTTGTAATCAGATTCTTAGTGTGTCAGGGAGAGAAGGGACCTCATGGCTTATCTAGTCTTACTTATCTGGTCATTAAGCAAGTCAGTGTTTCAGATAGAGGAACATAATCTGCAAGGGGCTTGCAGTGAGAAAGAATTTGACATGTCTGAGATCATGAAAGGAATTCTGAATCTAAGGTAGAGAGGAATGCAGGAGCTTCCATGTGATGGTTGGGTCACAGTAGTAGCCATTCTTAGCCAGCAGATACTCCAGGTTGCTGTGATTCCAGATGGGCTGCAGCAGCATTCCAGGCGGCACCTGAGGGCCCAGGGGAAGGGACTTCAGCTCACTTGGGCCTCAAGAGCTCCTGTGGGCACGTACATCAAGGGTCAGGGTGAGAGCAGCTCAGCATATTCCAGCTAAAGTGGATCTTATAAGAGGTGATGGTAAGAAGCTTTTAAGTGTGCACATGATTATTTGAGTAATGTTTCTATGAGGTCAAGGGCAGAGGGGTCTTCTGGTCAATCCAATAACTGAACAGCCATCTCTCTTCCAACAGACATGTTCTCAATGTCCTGAGCAAGACCAAAGAAGCTGCGAAGATCCTCTCCAATAATCCCAGCAAGGGACTGGCCCTGGGGATTGCCAAAGCCTGGGAGCTCTACGGCTCAGCCAAGTAAGGATGTAGAAAAAAGTGGCAGCTCTTTTACTGCTTTAGATTCAGCATTCATGGGTCCAGCATCTTCTCTTTTGCTTGACATCGTTAGGGAATGAAGGGATTTTGCTAAGAACAGAAACTTAGATGTTTAAGTGCCAAAATTATTATAATAAAGTTTTGTTTTGGGCTTCCTCCCCATACCTCCATCCCTGTACCAGAGATTGAACCCAGGGGTGCTCTACCACTGAGCCACATCCCCAGCCCTTTTTCTTTTTTGAGACAGGGTCTCACTGAATCACTGAGGCTGGCCTTTAACCATCCATCCTTTTGCCTCAGCCTTCCAAGTAGCTGGAACTATATATGTGTACTTGGGCTTCCTTTTTAAATATGCAATGGTATTGGCTAGAGATAATATTCCTCTTGGTGACTGCCTCTTGCTGCAATGCAGCTGTGCCACCTAGGGTTAGAGAGACAGCTCTACGGCTAGGCTCTAAGTTCTCCTTTTCTTCATAATTTTCCTGCCTGCTTCCCAATTATCAGCTCTGATTTTTTTTTCGCCCTTTTCTTTTTGTGGTGCCAGGGATCACCCCAGGGCCTTGAGAATGCTAGGCAAGTGTTACACTCCTGCGCTACATCCCTGGCCCCTTCTCCTACTTTCACTGCTTTCAGGGTGTTTGATTTTGGAATGCTCCCCTGTCATCCCCATATCGCCTTTCTAATTTTCTGTGCTTTGGAGAAAGAAGTGATCCATGTTGTTATGATTATGTCTAAAGAGCATGAGGGCCTCTCAGATGAGTAATTGCATAAGCTTTGGCTTGGGAATTTTATGGTATCCATTTTAACTGCTTAGAGGCATTTTTTGCTTTCTTCCTATTTCTCAACCATGTTCCAGATGTCTGAAGATACTAGGTAAGTGATGCAAGATAATTGAGGGATTATAATACTAACAGTTATTGCAATGTTCATATAGCATTAACAATTATCCCTTAAAGAGCACTTACTAGTGCCATACCTTAGAGCACTTTCTGGTGCCCAAGTGATTTACATACAGGATTTCATGGAATCCTCATGACAAATACTCCTGAGGTAGGTACTATTCATCTCCCCTGTTTTATAGAAGAGGAAACTGAGTTTCAGAGAAGTGAAGTGACTTGTTCAAGGTCAACTGGTGAGTAGGTGGCAGAATCCAGAGTCTATCTCCCTCCAGAAGTATTTGTTTGTGTGTATGTGTGTGTGGGGAGAGTTTTTTGTGGTACAGGGGAGCTCTACCACTGAACTACCTCTCCAGCCCTTTTCATTGTTAATTTTGAGATAGGGTTTCACCAAGTTACTGAGGCTGGCCTCAAATTTTCAGTCCTCCGTGTTTCACCACCTGAGTAGCTGCAGAGCCTGTATTCTTTTTTTTTTTTTTTAAAGAGAGAGAAGAGAGAGAGAGAATTTTTTAATATTTAGTTTTCAGTTTTCGGTGGACACAACATCTTTATTTTATTTTTATGTGGTGCTGAGGATGGAACTCAGTGCCCCGCGCATGCCAGGCGAGCACGTTACCACTTGAACCACATCCCCAGCCCAAAGCCTGTATTCTTAATCATACTATTACCTCCAAGAGAGTATCTGTGGGCTTGCTAAACTTCACTAGGATCCAAAGAGAACAAAAAAAAAAAAAAAAAAAAAAAAAACTCAGACTATAAGCATTCAGAGGCTATCAGACAATTATTCTGTCAAGTAGAACTCCTGGTTAGGTTGCATTTTGAGAGAGTGAAGCCAGGGGATGAGTCAACTGGTGAGCTGCTGATGGACAAACACTATAGAGGGCTCCTGCCAGGCTGTGAATAGCATGAAGAGAAAAGACTTATTGCCCAGAATTGAACACTGGTGGGTAGGAGCTATTCATCTTACGCAGCGCCTAAGCTGGAACTGGTTTCTGCCATTATGAGTAGAATAGGCTCCGCTGATTCAGCACGATGGCCTTGGCAAGTCATTTCTTTTTTCTGAGATTTAGTTTTCTTATTTGTAAAGTAGAAGTGATAATAATACCTAAAAGGGTGGAAGTGAGAATTAAATAAGGCCATGGACCTGAAAAATGCTTTAAAAATTCAGTGTGGATCATGTGGTTCATTTGATGATGGTGGTGGTGGTGGTGGTGGTGGTGATGATGATGATGATAAAAATAGCTACTATTGAATTTTATTTAACACAAGAAACTGAGGCTCAGAAAGGTTTAGTAACTTGCCTAAAGTTATGTAACTAGTAAGTTTAGAATTTATCTGCCTCTAAAACCTGAGTTCTCTCTACTACACTAGTATGGATTGAAAAACCGAGCTTAACATTTGTAAAGATGAATTTTCATTAGTTATCTCATGCTTTTTAAGATTTTTTTAAAGGAAGGCTAGACAATTAATTATGATTTCAATTTAGACACACTCTAGGGTCTATGATTAGAATGAATGGAATAAGAAAAATGCTTAAAAGGTTGGGAACTATGATCTGATTAACTATGATCTATCTCCTCAGCACCTTGGAAATTCAGGGTCCAGAGAAAGAAACACTTGTTTTAGGACACATCACAAGTCACTTGCAGAGGCATGAGTAGCATTGAGAGGTCCTCTCTCCAAGCTATCATGCTAGAGCCACTTAACCACCTTCTTTAGGTGACAATTTTTGTAGTCTTCCTTGGTTCCAACTGCTCATAACTAAAGGAAGGAGGAGATACAATGTTTCTTGGTCTAATGCCCATTGTTTGTCAGGTGGCAGGCTGAATTAATTAGCCAGAGCATGCAATTCCATTTTAACCTTCAGCCTCCAGCCTTCCTCCTCCATGGCTTCTAAGAAGCAGTTCAGCCTGGGCCAGATGCCACCTCCCACACATACCTACTCGTGTGCAGAGCATTTCAGTGGTTCATAGTGCAAAATGAAGAACAAGGCCTTTGTCCCTCCGGACTCTCTCAGGGCAAGATGGCTTAAGAGAGCATCACTTCTAACTTGTCTCTAAGATGCCCAGCTCAAAGCCAAGACTCAGCTTAATGTCACATCTGGCTTCATGAGATTTCAGGTGGACTAGGATAGGGGACATTTTAGGACCTGTATTTTGGCCAAGTGGAAAGAAGTCAGGAAAACAAAGTTTAGTCCAAGAGGTTCAGCTAAGATGGGGAAAAACAAAGACAAAGAGATAAGAGGCCCAGTACAGGAGGTCAGGAATATACACTTAGCATCCTCAACCAATGTTCCCAATGGTCTTAGCAAGACACAACAGGCACAAAGCAGTACAATTTCAGTAAAAATGGAGTTTGGTATTATAAGCATTGGCTTTATGAGGCTGGTGGCTCATAAAGGCTTTTTAAGAGTAGGCCTTTTTTGACACTGAAAATATCTTAACTGCCAACTCAAACAGATAGTTCTCTGCATAAGCTTTTCCTTGAGTTCTCAAGCCCCTGTTTCTTTAAGAAACACATGGATAAAGAAAGAGGAAAAGGCCCGGTAAGCCACTTTGATCCCATTAGTACTGTGAGATCAAACATGGTCCTGTGGACATCACAGAAATGTTGGGAAGCCCCAGGTGATAATGCCTTATTTGTAGTTAGATCTGTGGCTTTCTGTAGGGATCTGTCTAGCTCTTCTAAAGTTTTATGCAAAAACCACAATTGTTTTTGCTTTGTACCAGGGATTAAACCTAGGAGTGCTTACCCCTGAGCCACATCCCCAGCCCTTTTTATTTTTTATTTTGAGACAGGTTCTCACTAAGTTGCCTAGGGCCTTGCTAAGTTTCTGGGGCTGGCTTCATATTTGCAATCCTCCTGCCTCAGCCTCCTGAGTTGCCCATGTCTAGCTACACTTTTTTTTTTTCTTTTAGTTGTAGATGGACTCGATACCCTTATTTTATTTATTGTTTTTATATGGTGCTCAGGATTGAACTCAGTGCCTCACATGTGCTAGGCAAGCACTCTATCACTGAGCTACAATCCTAACCTCACACTCTTTTATTATATGTTTACAATCTAGTAATGGAATCACTTGTACTTGACCCCCAGCATTATTTATTTACAAAATATCAACAGTCTTACCTGTTTCTTCTTCTGGATTTTGGAATCATTATGTTCTGTTGTAAGAAAAAAAATCCTCTTGGGTTTTTGAGATGGGTTTAAATCTAAAATTGACATTATAATTTTTTCCCTTTATTTCTTTTTTAAATTCTTCCTTTAAGGCAGAGTGTAAGTTGCCTAGGCTAGCCTTCAATTTGTAATTCTCTTATCTCAGCTTCCCAAGTACCTGGGACTTTAGGCATGTGCCACATGCCCAACTATTACTGTATTTCATATACCCACTAGAGAAAGGGTAGAGACATCTCCATATATTCCAAGTTTCCTGTTATCAGAAAATAAGATGTTATAGCCTTAGGTGTCTATGCCTGAGTTAATCCCAAATTAAGGTAATATCTACTCTTTCAGGGAAACTGTTTTATTCATATGGGGGGCGGGGGAGAAAGGATAAGCTCTATAGCAGCCTCAGGCCATTTGTGTTCTTTCTCCAGTGCTCAGGTGCTACTGATTGCTCAAGAGAAGGAAAGGAACATATTTGACCAGCGTGCCATAGAGAATGAGTTACTAGCCAAGTAAGTATGTGGTCCCAATGGGAAGGGCGACTCAGATCACAGCATCCGCTCCTTCTGACTCTTGTCCATCTTTCCCAGGAAGATCCATGTAATCCGGCGAAGATTTGAAGATGTCTCTGAAAAGGGGTCTCTAGACCAAGACCGTAGGTTGTTTATGTAAGCATCCCCAAAGATCCACTAGCTGATTTGTTCGTGAAACCCTCTTTCCCCAAATGATCTTTCCTTCTGGATGGGATGGATGGTTTGTTTTCTTTTTTCCTAATTTCTGAAATATTCTTCAGGAAATTTTGGAGAAAGGCCAAGCAAACTGCTTCTAAAGGGTTGTCTCATAACTGATGACATCTGGATAAGGGTGTCGTCCTTAAAGATAACCTTTGTTTTCATACTCCTCTGAGCTCTGCAAAGTTTTCTTGCCCCTCTTGGAGGCTGGTCAAGTCCAGCCTAAGCAGTTGGGCTGGACAGTCAGGGAAGCAGAGGGCCAGCTGGCTTATTCTGTGATTTATCTAGATTCCATTCTCTGAGATTGGGCCTGGATTTGTCTTCCAAGCCAGGCCTTGCCCTTCCCTCCATGGGCCACTACAAGGTGACCACAGGTTTGGAAATTTGTGATTGTTAAAGTTAAAATCTCCATGGGATTTCACAATACCACTTAATTTTTAAAAATCTTTTTTATGTATTTTTTTTAGTTGTCGATGGACCTTTATTTTATTCATTTATTTGTATGTGGTGCTGAGAATCGAACCCAGTACCTCACTCATGCTAGGCAAGTACTGTACCACTGAGCCACAACCCCAGCCCTTACTTTTTTTTTTAAATAAAACAAAGTGGCTTACTTTCCAGATAAACCAATACTATCAAATAGGTCAAAGAAAAGAGGAAGAAATTTAAAGGTAGTCTTTTTTTCTTTTTGTAGTACTGGGGGTTGAACCCAGGGCCTTGTACATGGGAGGCAGGCACTCTACCAGCTAGGTTGTATCCCCAGCCCAAGTCTGTATTTTAATTAGACTCATTTTTGCACCTCATCCCACCCTACCATTTTAAGAAATCTTAGGTTTCAGCTACTTTAAGCAGTGGAAATACAAGTTCGTGTTTGTTTGGGGCACCAGGGAATAAACCCAGGGATGCTTTACCACTGAGCTACATCCCCAGCCCTTTTTAGATTTTGAGACAGGGTCTCGCAAAATTGCTTAAGGCTGGCCTTGAACTTACAATTTATCTGCCTCAGCTTCCCAAGTTTCTGCGATTACAGGTGTGCACTACCACATCTGACTAAAGTCTGTTTTTCTATGCATGGTAATATGATTCTGCTACTCAGTCATTTTGAGGCCATGTGATTTTGAATTTACCTGATTTGATTCCGGTTACCTTCCTGTTTCCCTGTAGTCTCCTTAGAATGACTCTAGATGTAGAATATTCTAAAACATTCCATATTGGACATCTCTGTGTTTTTAGTGAAAGCACTGGTAGTGCAGGTATCTCCTTTTAATAGTTCCAGTGAACCCCAGCCCAGGTCCTATGGACTGACTTTCAGAAAAGCCAAATGCATTTTGATATAATATGAAATTGATTGAACCACTGAATACATCAGTTACAATTTAACAACAATAGCTTTTTCTGTTATGTTCTAGGGATGGCCAGGAAATTGCTGTGGTTTACTTCCGGGACGGCTACATGCCAACTCAGTACAGTACACAGGTTGGTATTTTTCTGTTAGATAATTCTTTGCCTCCTGGGACTTACCCCAACCTAGATGTCACAACAACCAGGGTTTTTCTGAGTCTTAGCTTCAATTTCTCCTCAGGGAACTTGCTGTTGGAACTTCCTCCCCTCCTGCAAGTGTGTCTACCTCTTACTCTGCAAACACACTGTCCTCTAGAATCAGCATCCTCAGGAATTTAGTGCTTTAGCCACTCACACATTTTCTAGAGGTGGGCTGGCAGATGTTTAAAAACTATCTTTCTGGGCATAAAAGTACCAGCTTATAACATTTGTTGATTTCTCTAGTACAATTTTGAGCTCCCCAGCTCAACATCTCTGAACACAGAGTCGGGAAGAGAAGGGTACAGTCAGCTCTCACTAGCTGATGCAAGCTAGTTCCAGCACACCACTGATCATTTTCTTCTTCTTTTTTTTTTTTTTTTTTTTTAAATAATTTTTATTGAGATTTTACATTTGATAAATTTTTGTTACTCTACTCTGCCACAGTCTGGCTGGGCACAAATGCCGCAGTCTGGCTGGGCACACAATCACGAGCCACCACACAGCTTGTAGATTCAAACAGCAACTCTTTTTTTTTTTTTTTTTTTTTTAAATATTTATTTATTTTAGTTCTCATCGGGTGGACACAACATCTTTGTTTGTATGTGGTGCTGAGGATCGAACCCGGGCCGCACACATGCCAGGCGAGCGCGCTACTGCTTGAGCCACATCCCCAGCCCCCATTTTCTTCTTCTTTACCGCTCCTTTATCTGAGTCAGAAAGTTTTTTATCATCTGTCCATTCATGTTCATGGAAGTAATGATGTTACTTCATCTTGTTATCCTACCATGTCATTGAAATTATTTACCACATTCATTATATCACTTAACTATTGCCCTGTGAAGCATATAGTTACCCCCATTACACAGATGGAAAAACTAAGGTTTGGAGAAATGCAGAGGCTTATCTAAGATCCCACAGGAAGTTTCCAGGCTTCCTGACCTTCAGGCCAGTAGTGTGTTGTATCCTGGTATTCCCAGGATACCATTCTTCTGTCCTGCTCCTAACGTACATACCATGGAGAGACTTAAGAAGCCCTGCTTTCACTTGGGAGAAGGTAAAGGAGGGGATAAGTTAGGAAATACCATTGGCAATGGTCTGGGGGTCATTAGCCTGATTCTGCCTCTTGGCACCATTCCTGGGTTTCAGTTTCTGAAAGCAGGAACTATAAAATCAAGAGAACTCCTTTCAGGTCTATAGTTCATCTAGGTTTTCCCCCTGGGTTGACCTCTGTAGAGGGCAGCTGGACGGAGGTGGCAGCTCTACAGAAGTTCCTTTTCTCTAGAGAAGTGGTAGCAATGTTGGGAACTTGCTGATTAGAGAAGAAACTATCTGTTGGGACCCATCCTGGATCTAAGTTTCAAGATGGGGATGGGGGAAGAGGCCCAAGAAAACTTAGAGGGAGAGCTAACAGGGTAAGGAAAGTAGTGTATATAAGGAAGTGGACATTTTTAGGGAACTGAGAAGCTCAAACTGGGTTTAGAACATGGAGATAGATCTGTAAAGCTTAGTGACTTGCTAGATGATCCTGGGCAAATCCCTGCTCATGTTTGGGTTGTGCTTTCCCTGCTTGTGACTTAATGAGGTACTTCTGGGTTTATCTCATGTTCTGGGCACCTGTGACTCTGCCTGGAACCCCAGACCAATAATTAGATGATTGGGATTATTGGGTAAAGATAAGGTAAAAGTGCCACAGGGGAGCAGCATTGAGTATGGCAGGAGTTGCTCAAGTCTTAAGCCTTGATCCTGCTATGGACAGTTTGCTGTGATCTGGAGCCAAGGACAGACTATCTCCCCAGTGCCTGAGAATGGGGACCAAAACTGGGACACGTGATTCTCTGATGTTTCCTGCTTCTTATATCCTAAGCTCCTGACACAACAGGTCATTCATCTTGTGATCACCACCAGCCGGCTTTTGTCCATATTTTTCTGTTAGCCTGTTAGTCAGACTGCCTTTCTCCAGGATACTGCTTGAATGAATTTCACTTCAGTCAGCCACAGTAACAAATAACAAATACTTATTGAGCACCTATGAAGTGCCAGGAACTATGTAAGATAGTGGGGATACAGAAGAAAATAAGACAAGAATCTGGTCCTAATGGAGCTCACAGTCTGATCAGAGAATGTGGCCTTTGAAAATTTTTTTAAAGAGTGTTTTTTTTCTCCTAGTTGGGAAACAACTGCTTTGAATGAAACAGCAGGGTGAAAAGATAGAGAATTATGGTGAACCTACATTAAATAGGGTAGTCAAGGAAGGCTTCTCTGAGAAGGTAACTGAGTCAAGACTTAATGATAAGAAGGATCTAGCCATTCCTGGAAAAAGCCAAAAGAAAGAGAATTTCAGGCAAAGGGAAAACACAAATGCAAAGGATCTGAGGAGGTTTTGTGTGTTTGAGGAATGATAGGCCTATGTGGCTAGAATGGGGGAATCAGGATGCAGGGGTAGAGGTCAGGGGTGGCAATATGGAATGAAGTTGAAAAAACAGACAAGAGCCAGATCCCACAGGGTCTTTTTTTTTTTTTTTTTTTTAATAATTTTATTATACCTAAAAGTTTTTTTTTTTTTTTTAATATTTATTTATTTTTAGTTTTTTTCGGCAGACACAACATCTTTGTTTGTATGTGGTGCTGAGGATCGAACCCGGGCCGCAAGCATGCCAGGCGAGCGTGCTACCACTTGAGCCACATCCCCAGCCCTCCCACAGGGTCTTATAGGCCATGATAAGGAGTTTGGATTTTTTGTTTGGTAAAAGGCAACAGACTTATACACTCTGAAGAAAAACCAGAGTTTGAGGTGTTGAATTTTATTTGAAATAACGGTGGGAAGCTGAACTCATAAATAAGTGGCCCAAGCCCTTCGAACCTCATCATCAGTTTTTCTATATCCTCATAAAAGATTTTTCACCTTTTGTCGTTTCCCTTTATTTTTGGTCATGTATCAGTGTGCTAGACTATGAGCTCCTTAAGGCAAGAATCCCATGGATTTGAAAAGGTCACACTTTCCTCACAAGGATATTGCAATGATCTTGGGAGACAATCAATGTGAAGATAAAAATCATAATCAGTAATGATCAGCAGACATGAACTAAAGTAGATTTCTTTTTTGCTTTTTGTGTTCCTCTCTCTGCAGAACTGGAAAGCACGCTTACTGCTGGAGAGGTCATGCGCTGTTAAGTGCCCAGACATTGCCACCCAGCTGACTGGGACTAAAAAAGTGCAGCAGGAGCTGAGCCGGGCGGGCGTGCTGGAGATGTTGCTCCCTGGCCAGCCTGAGGCTGTGGCCCGCCTCCGTGCCACCTTCGCTGGTCTCTACTCATTGGACATGGTACATAAGCAACCCATTTCTCCCATCACAGGCCTCTTAGTGACAGAAAGCTGGAGCCCAATGTGTCGGGAAGGGTGGAACTGGCATTATGGTTATTATTGTGACTTGCGTCAATGGTGCTCTGGGGAACCCCTAGAACCTTGGAGATGAGAGCAGCCTCAGAGGGCTGGAATTCACCGTCAACTCCTCAACAAAGGTAGAGATGGGGGTGTCAACCAGGGGACAGGACTAAGGCAGGTAGCAAGAATTGAGGAATAGCTGTACCCACTGTCTAGACTACCTGCTGCAGAGCCTGTGTTGCCAGAGGAAGACCTATTCTCCCTGTGTTTATGGCTGCAAGGGTTGTGGGGATCACATCTGAAAAGAAATGTCCAGCCTGAAAGAGCAAGTGGCTGTTCCTACTCCTGCTCTTCCCATAATGCTACTTGTATGATCAGCAGGACTCTCATTACTTCTTTTTGTCTTAAAACTGTGTGGTGACTACTTTCTGCCTCTTGCCAGGGTGAAGAAGGGGACCAGGCCATTAATGAGGCTCTTGCTGCCCCAAACCGGTTTGTGCTAAAGCCTCAAAGAGAGGGTGGAGGTAGGTGAATCCCCCTCTGCAGAGCTGCTCAGTAAAAGGAGCTACCAAGTTGTCACCAGTGAATACTTCCATGGACATAGGTCAGGCATGGTGATACAAGAGGAAGTGACATAGGTCCCACCAAGGACAGTGTCCCCCGAGACCCTGTGACCAAGTGCTGTGGAATACAGGGGAATTAACCAGCACTGGAGGATTTGGACAACTTTAGTTTGAGGTGCCTCGGGCAGATGATAGAGTAGCAGGTAATAGTGTGTTAGGTTCCACAAAATACATGTCTGTCTTCCTGCCTCATTTGAAACTCCTTGAGGGCAGGGATCGTGTCTGCCTCATAGATCCAGAGATGATTTTTGACCTGGTTGGAGTTTTCCAGGTAGAAAAGGGGGATGAGTGTTCTAAACAGAAGGAACAATCTCAAGCAAGAGCACTAGGCCATGAAAGCATGGTATGTTTTGAGGTTAATGAGAATGGTGAGGTTGGAGTAGCAGATGGTAGGAGGCCTTATAAAGAGCACTGAATGTATGTTAGGAAATTGGATTTTATCATGGGAAGCCATTAGAGAGTTTTAAGCAGGAAGGGGACGTTTGATTGATTAAGGATCCCACTGGCTATCAGTGGTAAGAACTTGCAAAACGTACAGTGTTTCGGCCATTATAAATTTCCTGGAATGAAGAGACTGGTGGCAGAGAGACCATAAAGGAAGCTGGTACAGTTGTCCAGAATAGTGATGTAGAGTTCCAGACTAGGGCTATGACATCATGGAACAGAGACTGGAGAGACATGTCTGAGGTAGTGTCCTAGGTAAAGCAGAGGGAGGAGTTGAAATAGGACTCAGGGATGCCTTTTGCCTAATTGGGAATTGGAAGTCCAAGAGGGGCATATTGAAGCAGAAATTGAGTTCTGTTTGGACATGCTGAGTTTGTTTTGGAGACCTGTGGGACATTCGTGTGATATCTAGAGCAAGCAGCTTAAGTTAAAGATACAGGAGTTAACAAGTTATGGGGTATAGGTGGGATCTTGGAAATACAGAAGAGAACTCCCTGAAAAAAGGTATATGGAAGAGAGAACAAGGGTGTAGGATAGATTCCTGGGGAACCCCAACATTTAAGAAGAGAAGGAACTGAGGCTGAGAAGAAGCATCCATAGACAAGAGAACCAGGCAGGATGGTGTGATGGTAGGTGTGTTCGCTTGTGTAAGGGCTTTCCTGTTAGATTGGCCTTGGATTGTTAGAAGCCAGATGTACTCCAGCTTTACTGAGCTGGTGTCATGAACTAAGGCTGTTGAGTTGTTCACATGGCCCCAGAAGTGAAAAAGATAAGTAGAGGGTTCAAGGTAACTGGCCAGTTTAATTGCAGGCAACAACTTGTATGGGGAGGAAATGGTGCAGGCCCTGGAGCAGCTAAAGGACCGCGAGGAGAGGGCCTCCTACATCCTCATGGAGAAGATTGAACCTGAGCCTTTTGCAAACTGCCTGCTACGGCCTGGCAGCCCTGTCAGAGTGGTCCAGTGCATCTCAGAGCTGGGCATCTTTGGAGTCTATGTCAGGTGAGCCAATAAGGGGAAGCTCCTTTCCTACCTCCCAGCAGGTAGTGGAAGGAGCTAGAAGAAACCATGGACAGAGTCAGGAATCATGGGCTTCAGTCCCAGCTCTGCCAATCCCTAGCTTTTTTACTTATTTCCTTGTCTATGAAATGAGGCCAAGGACTCAAGAGCTGCCCACCTCACAGAACTCTCAAATGAAGCCCATATGAGAAGTATTTTGCTTCTCAACATATAAAGGAACTTCTCATATAATGAAAATTGCAGATGGTACCAAGAGAATTGAGAATAGATCGTCTGACAGTCAGGAGTAGATTCTCCAGGGAGGAAGAGAGTTTGGATCCAGCTCAAAGTCCCCTGGGGATTCTGGAGAAAGATGAGAAAGGTCAGCTAGACATCATTCAGTGGCTTTGAAGAGCTATATAGCCCCTGGATTTGGATTTGCACACAAAGAATCAGAAAGAGAGGAGGACTTGGGAATTTGTAAGTAACAAGTCCCTCATGCTACTTCCTACAAAATACTTCAAGGTTAGGGCAAGGAATACCAGATGCTCCCTGCCAAAACCTGCCCCTCCACAACCTCCCCTTCTAACCACTTTCAGCATCTCTGCCTGTCACTCCTACCACCCCCACAGCCACCTTGAGAGAGAAAACTCATAGCTCAGGACATGAATTAAGAGTGTTCTTGCTTTATTTACTCTTCAGGACCTACTTGCAAAGTGAGGGGTGTTATCCCAATTTTAAATTGAGGAAATTGATAGTTAGAAAGGCTAAGGAATTTGCTCCAAGGATACAAAGCTAGTAATTTCCAAGCTAGAATGCAAACCTAAATCTATTCTAAAATCCTAGCCCTGTTTTGGATATAGTAGGTTACCCATGTACTGCTTAGCTAGGACCAGGAAAAGTCCTGGGTTTGGTGATGTTGTATGTCTTCTGGCCCCATATCTATAGGCAGGGAAAGACACTTGTGATGAACAAGCACGTGGGGCATCTACTTCGAACCAAAGCCATCGAGCATGCAGATGGGGGTGTGGCTGCAGGAGTAGCAGTCCTGGACAACCCATACCCTGTATGAGGGCACGGCCTGGACAGCCTGGACTTCACTCAAGAGATCTTCTATCCCACGTACTTGTCACTAATCTCCGAACCCTACTACCTTAGGAGGGCCCTTCTCTCCCAAAGTTTTCTAAGGTCTAGTGTGAAGGATCTGAGGACCAGAAAGGCTGTGTTTCCATTAGATGAGATCTAGAAGCCCCCAAATCTTTGAGGTGTGGGAAGGGAGCTGCTCTGAGGTCAAGGTCCATAAATTCTGCCATACTCCTCTTGACCCCTCATCAGCCTTTTCAGCAGCTTCAAGTGCCTGACTTGGGATAGGACTGAGTGGTAGAAAGAGGAGAGATAAGGGGGGGGGGCATAGACTTTTTTCCATCTCTGCCTTAAATAAAATTACATTACTGACTGTTGAATCGTTGTTTTGTATACAGAGGAAAGAGGAAAGTTATAATCTAGATCAGCCCACTTACGGTGGATTGGGGCAGGGAATGTGACTGGGCTATAGTCAGGGTCTCCCTAGACCCAGACCCTATGGATGGGATCCTGAAGTTCCAATCTTTAGTCACTCACTAACACTCCCATAGGATCATAGGGAAAAGTAGGAGTCCCTGACAGAAGCCCAGGTGGGAAAGCAACCACAATGGGATATGAAAGTTGTGAAGTGGCTTCAGTCACTCTTACTTAACTGAGGGGCTTGTCAGAGTTCCTGTGAGTGAAGCCCTGCCTGCCTCTTCCCAAAAGTTTTAGAAGGAAGACACTGGGGTAGTCCTCGGGAATATCACTCCCCTTCCCACCTGCCACACAAATCAGAGCAGCTACATGTACAGCCTGAAAGATACCTAAGAAAACCAGTCACACCTTCTTGAGGTCACAAACTTTATTCCTACAACCATGGAGCTTAAGCATCAATAGGGCAAGAGAAGAGAGTTCCATATGAGTGTATCTCTCATGGGCAGGCTCTGTTCATGGAAAGGTGGGTACAGGACAGGGAAGATAAGTTCCTCTGATCCTAGTAACAAAATACACCCACTCCTCCAAAGAAGCAGATGATTTGAAAAGCATCTAGAGACTGAACTGGCTTGCACAGCCTCTGGAGCAAAGAGGGAATTCAGACTCAGAACAGAAGCAGCAAAGTATTTAAAAAAATAATTATTATTCCTGGACTCATAAACTGTCATTCCTAAAGACAAGTGCATATCCAAGATAAGTACTGGTGCTTTCTGAGAAAGCTGACACAGGATTTAGGGTTGGCTCCCAGCTTCAGTCTAGGCCCTTATTTACCCTCTGAACTTAGGGACATGGTCTTCAGGTCCCTGTACTGGGCATGGAGAGTTCTTTGGAGACTGGAGACATATTAGTCTGAGGCTGACTTGGGACTTTGTCCCTTTTGCCTGGCAGTCACAGGAAACTGTCTCCATATAGGGACAAAGTGTGGGTCAGGATTGGCCCTCAGTACTCCTAGAAAGGGGACAGGGAGGACGGACAGAACTTTGGAGAGCCAAGCAGGAGAATCCTGGGTAAAGAGTCTTGTTCACTGGATGGTCAGGCAGCGGTGGCTAAAGAGATGACTGATGACAGACGGGTCAGCCACTGTAGATGTGTCCCCCACGTCATGGTCATTCTGAGCAATCTTTCGAAGCACTCGCCTCATGATTTTTCCTGGGGGACCACAAGCCTCTGGTTACTAAGTGACAGCACTGACCCACCCAACCCCACCAAAGGCTTTCATCCACACACCCCATACCACTGGGCCTCAGCCCATCCCAATCCCTGGAGGTATCTGAACATACCTGAGCGGGTTTTAGGCAAGCCAGGTGCATTCTGGATGTAGTCTGGTGTGGCAATCGGGCCAATCTTTTCTCTAACTGTAATCAACAAATCAAGTTTTTCTTCATCACCTTTAGCCAGACTCTCAAAAGCCAAGGGAGGGATGGTTTAGTTCCCCAACTGTTTCCCCTTGAAGGCCCTGTCTACAGAGTCACCCTCAGGTTCTCTGCCTCTCCTATTATATCTTAACCCACGTTCGTGGAACTCTGGCTGTAGAATCAGCCTGCCAGAATTTAAATACACCTTTCAGGAAGTATAGTCTTGGGCAAGTGATTTAACTTCTCTGCACCTGAAGTTTCTTCATCTTTGAAACTAGAGTAACAATAGTATCTCTTTTGTGGAGGTGATTATAGGGATTAAATGGGGTCATGCATTTAAAGCACTAAGCCCAGTGATGGCACAAAAAAAGTATTAAATAGTTGTTGGCTATTATTATTAACCTGTAGAAAGACTAGTGGAAACTAAGTAGGTAGAAATCATTTGGACCATGGGATCCCATGAGCTCTATTCATGGTTTGGGGAACAGCTTGCTGCAGCCCCTCCCTAACAACATGCAGACCCTCTAGTCCTTGCTGAGGAGAGCTCCTTACTCTGCTTCTTGAGCTCCTCAGTGAGGGTGGGGCTGAAGCTGTGGCCATCACACAGGGTAACAAAGCAGTAGAGGCATTCGCCCTTCACAGGATGAGGATGGCCCACCACAGCTGCCTCTGCCACAGCCTCGTGTTCCACAAGTGCTGACTCCACTTCTGCTGTACTCAGCAAGTGTCCTTGTCAAGAGAAAGGAAATGCCATGAGAGATTCCAGCCTTTGCCCCAGCCTTTGTTCCATTGGTACCCGCAGGGCAGACCCCAGTCTGCATGGGGAATGCCCTTCATCCAGTCCTCACGTGGCATGTTTCCAGTTACCTCACCACCCCAGTTTCTTCTAGGCATATTCCAGTGCTGATCATTCTTCCAAAACCTGGACCCAGAACTGAATACCACACTCCACACATGTTTGGTCTGGCCAAATGACAATCCTGGGTCTCTTTATAAAGTCTTTAGCTGGGAGTTGTCAGGGTAACAGAGCTAATGAAATGGTAGGGGGTCCTGGGCCCTCACCAGATACATTGAGCATGTCATCAATCCTGCCAGTGATCCAGTAATAGCCATCCTGGTCCCGCCGGCAGCCTGGGAAGAAATGCACAACATATAAATACCCCACAATAGAGCACATGATCCACATTACCAAACTGTCATACCCAATGCAGTAGATTTCTAGCAAGTCTTCCAGCCTCCATGATGGTCCCATTGATCTCCATCTCCTAGTATTTAAAGCCCTGCAAATAGTTCTCACTGTGCAAGGTTAGTCTGTGTAACCAACAGAATTTGGCAGAAATGATGGGATGTAATTTATTTTTTTTTCCTTAACATTCATTTCTTAAGTTTTAGGTGGACACAATATCTTTACATTTATATGGTGCTGAGGATCGAACCCAGTGACTCGTGCATGCTAGGCGAGCATGCCACCACTGAGCCACGACCCCAGCCCAACAGGGTGTCATTTCTGAGATTAGATTACAGAAGACACATTGGCTTCCACCTTGGATGTATTCTCTCAGATCTTGTACCCTAGGGAAAGCCAGCTGCCACGTTGTAAGTAGCCCTACAGAGATGGTGACAAACTGAGTATTTCTGCCAGCAGCCACAAGATTGAGTAAGAAAGTGGGTCCTCTAGACTCAGTCATACCTTTAGATAACTACAGCCCCTACCAACAGTTTGATTGCAATCCATGAGAGACACTTGACAAAGAACCACCCATCTAAGCTGTTCACTGATCCTGATAACTCAGAAACTATGTGAGATAATATAATACTTGTTGTTTTTGAGTTACCAACTTTGAGGGTAATTTATTCCATGGCAGTAAATAACTAATATAGCCATCTCAAGTCGCTGTAACTCAGGTAGTTGTTTTCTAAACAGTAAAGTAGTTCTTATCACTCCCCTTCTTAAAACATGTAAATGTCTCTCATTGTACTTTGAATAAAATCTAAACTGCTCATCATGGCCCACAAGACGCTATATTATTACTCTCCAGCTTCACGTGATATTCTTCCCTGTGCTTACTACACTCTAGCCATACAGGCTTCAGTCCATTCCTCATTCATTTCAAGCTGTGTTGGAGCTGGGGGTATAGCTTAATGGTAGAGCACTTGCCTAGCATGCATAAGGGCCCTGAGTTACATACCCAGCACTGCAACAAACAACAAAAAGACAAAAACACCACCTTGTGTCCTACTGAAAACAATACTCTTAATCTAGATTTCTCTGTATCTGGTTCTTTTTCACCCCTCAAGTCTCTGCTCAATGTCAGTTCAGAAAAGCTGCCTCTGACCACTCTCCACTCTGTGTTGAGTAGCTGTCCCTGAAGACACTCTTTATCACATTATTTTCATCATATCACTTACCTCTACCTAAGATAAGCTTATTTACTTGTTTGCTGGATTTACTGTCTGTCTCTTTCTAACTAGAATGTAAATCCCATGATAAAAGATACCTTGACTAATATTCATGGTAATATACCTTGTGCTTATTAGATCAGTGGTTGGGCATAGTAGGTGCTCAGTAAATACAATATGGACTTGGCAGACAAACAGGCTCCAAACATGGAGACACACATGACACAGTAACAAACATTGCTACATGCTACATCTCTGTCAACACAGGATCAAGAAACAAGAAAACTCTTGGACATTTAACATTAGATGGCATCATCTTGAGACCTTTCCTGCAATACTCATTCCTGTTCTTAAAGTTTTCTCTGTTGCTCTGCCTGTTTACTAGACAGTGATATTTAGGACATGTTCCTTTCTGTTCTCTACCCTTAACCAACTCTTTTGAAAATGGAAGGTGAAGGTACATCTTAATGGGAGGTACAGGGAGAGGCTAGCCAAGGCTCACCATCTCCTGTCACGTAGTACCCAGGGAACTTCTTAAAGTAGGTGGTCTCAAAGCGTGTGTGGTTCCCATAAACCGTGCGCATTATCCCTGGCCAGGGCTGCTTAAACACCTGTGGAGGGAGGAAGGCACAGTGATCACAACTGCTAGGCTGTCTCAGAGGAAGATAATAATTTCTTTGCTAAATATGGGGGGAATATCCTAAAGTCCATTCCTAGGAAGTAAGACAAACTATAAGCTTTGGAGATGAATGATCCTGACTTGGAATCCCAACTCTACAACTTACTAACTAGCTATGTGATCTCGGGAAACTAACTTTGCTTCTCTTAGAATCCTCATTTGTAAATCTGAGAAAATAATTTCAATCTTCTTAAGTTATTTTGAGGATTAAATTAATAGTATGTAGAAACTGCTTAGCACAGTATTCTTTTAGTTACAAGCTTTTAGTAAATTTTAAGTCCAGCTTAAAGCAAATGAAAACAGTCATATAAAAAATGGGACTCAAACCAGGTGTGGTGGCACATGACTAAAATCCCTGGTATTCAGGAGACTAAGGCATTAAAAGTTTGGGGATAGCCTAGGCAATTTAGCAAGACCTTATCAAAAAATAAAAAGGACTGGGGCTATACCTCAGTGTTAGAGCGCCCCTGAGTTTAATCTCCAGTACCACACCAAAAACAAAACAAAAAAATGGGTCCCACACATGAGTTAATAATAATGTTCTGTGGTAGCAGATTCATGAGAACAGATGGAATTATAGGCTGAGTCAAAAGGCCTAGATTCAAGTCCTGCTCCTGTTACTAACTGTTCTTAGAAAAATGAAATTGGGTAGGGTCTGGAGGACATGGCTGATAAGATCCCTATTAAGTACTAACACAAACATCATAATAGCTAACATTTATTGAGCACTAACTTCTAGGTTTTGTGCTAACCGCTTTCCATGGATTATCTAATTGACAAAACAGCCAAAGGAGACAAAAGTAATATTAAAACCCAACTTTCCAAATAAGAAAAGTTAGGTTCAAAGGTATTAGGTAACTTCTCTGAGGTCATAGAAGAAGCAGAGTCAGGATTTGAACCCAGACAGGCTGACTCAAGAGCCTACATGATTATCTACTATTTTATTAAGCCTCCTGTCTCAAGAATGTTTGTCAAAGGAAGAATTAGGACTGTCTTCCATACCCTAAAAAATATCATTGGGGTGGGGGGCTAGGGCTATGGCTCAGTGGTAGAGCACTTGCCTAGCATGTGTGAGGCACTGGGTTCAGTTCTCAGCACCACAAATAAATAAATGAATAAAATAAAGGTCCATCAACATCTAAAAAAATTTTTTTTTAAAGTTTCATAGAGAATCTTTGAACAGAATCTTAAAAGGCCCATAAGAACCTTGTGCACCAAAAGGCAGAGATGCAGGCAAAGTATCTAGAAGAATTCCTCCTGAAGTCTTTCAATAGAGGACAAACCACCAACTGTGGAGCTTCAGTTCTAAGCAGCTATCAAGAGAGATCAGGTTATTAACTCTGAAGTAAAGTAGCTGTGGTAGATCCTTTTCCTTCTTCAAAGGACCCCACTCCACCAAAAAAAAAAAAAAAAAAGGCAGGGCCTTACCAGATGACCTTCAGCTTCACCTTCTAACTCTTCCCCAGACTCATTCAGGATTGCAGGAGCTACGCCAAAGAAAGGGAAGGACTAAAAGCAAATAGGAGACAGAACCCAAGAAAAGGAATGAGACAATTCTGACTCAACTCCAAAGGAGCCCCAGTGCCCCAAATTCCTCATACATATGGGTCCATTCTCTAGTAGACCAAATACCCCCACAACCCTATCCCTGCCAAGCCCAGGACCAACAGGGGAAATTCACTCACAGCAGAACCAGGTTTCATGGGTGTGGCACCAGGGAGGGGGGTCAGCATGTGGCCACCCTATGGAAATCAGAGATCAGGGGTTTGAGTCAGTTTTCCAACATTGTCCCTGAGCCCATCCTTCTGAACCCCTCACTCACTGTCTCTGTTTGCCAGAAGGTGTCCACGATGGGGCAGCGCCGGGCACCTACCACCCGGTGGTACCACAGCCAGGCTTCAGGGTTGATAGGTTCACCCACTGTCCCTAGCACCTGCAAGGATGCCCGGCTATGCCTTGGGCAGGGAATGGGAGAGAGGAAATTTCTGAGTACCACTGGGAGCCAGGATACACATGTCCTGGTCCTTCTCTTACTTTCTCCCCTATTCACATCAGGGAATTGGAACAATGGGGAAAAAAAACTATGTACAAAGGGAAACACCCAGCTCTGAAGGATTTCTATCTATAGGACACCAACTGGGAAGGGGGTGTCTCACTTGATGACAGGTTCATCTCCAAACTTCATGAGCAGACGAATGGCTGTCGGTGCTGTGTAGAACTTGGTCACCTTGTATTTGTCCACGATGCTCCATAGACGACTCACATCTGGGTATGTGGGGATCCCTTCAAACTGACCCCAGTGAAAGCAGCAGATCATTCCTGGTCCTTCCCAAGAGTCTTACCATTCCCCTAATATTCCCTTAGTTTCAGTATTTTGCCCTATCTGACCAACCAAGTAGAGAACTTCCTAGTCACCACATACAACCCCTCAAAGACTCCTGTTTTTCCAGGAAACAAGTCCACTGCCTCTAGTCTAAGTGTCTTGGGAAGCAGTCACCCAGGATAATCTTGTCCATCCCCCAGCCTAGGCCAGGTGGCCATGAGTTCCAGTTCCCTTCTCACCAAAACACTGGTGGCACCATTTGCCAGTGGCCCATAGGTGACATAGGAATGGCCAGTGATCCAGCCAATGTCTGCTGTGCACCAAAACACATCCTCTGCGTGGAAGTCAAACACATACTTGAAGGTTGTAGCCACATAAAGCATGTAACCGCCAACTGTGTGCACCACACCCTGTAGAAGGAATAGTGCTTCCAGTTGAGCTCTTGTACCCAACTCCACTGACCAAAAAATGGAGGCTGGGCAGAGCTGGAGCAGACCCTTCTCAGGGATTCTGACCCTGTCAGCATCCCTTTCACAGCATCTGTCTCTCTTCCATCTCCTTTCTCCATGTTCCCATCTTATCTCCTTTATCACATACCTGATATCACACATGCATAGCATCCCATCATTCCAACCTACACACTCAAATTCTATGTATTTATTTGTTTGTTTGTTTGTTTGTTTTTGGTACTGGGGACTGGACCCCTGGATGTTCTATCACTGAGCTACATCCCCAGTCCTTTTTATTTTTTGAGACAAGTTCTCACTAAATTGCCCAGGCTGGCCTTGAACTTGCAATCCTCCTGCCTCAACCTCCTGAGTTACTGGGATTACAGATTTGCACCATAGTGCCCAGCAACTCAGAGTATATTTCTAAGTCACCCACATTACTCACACACACACATGAACACTCCTAGCACTCATCTGTGTATTTGCACCCACACACTCAATTCCACATTGTCAGAGTGATTTGAATAAACAGTAACCATTACCCCCTCCCTAACCTATCCCTAGAAAGGAGATGCCAAAATTGTGTTTTTAAAGACCCATTGAGGGATATTCCAAATGATGGAGAGAACTTAGGGGGTAGGGTAGGTGGGAAAGCAGAGTGACATAGCTTTCAAGTCTTTCAGATCAATTAAAGAGTCAGTTTTCTTAAGTCCTTCCAGCTCCCACACTGTGCTCTAGCAGAGAATGTCAACAGTGAGCCATGAAGAAGTAACTGAATGATTCCTGTGCCCATCCTTGACATTGACACTCTCTTTCCACCAAACCATGAGGGAATGGGCAAGTAGCATCCATGTCAGTCACACGGACTGATCCTTTCGCCATTTTCTGGGCCCCCAACTGACTTATCTTACCCTGGGCTTCACCTTCTAGTAACTGAGAATTTATATCTTAATTTGATTTAGAAAAGGTAACGTAACATTTTTGAAACTCAGAGTTGTAGAATAAAATTCCTGTTGTTACATGCTTTCCCAGAAAACCACTTTTTACTCTTACATAGTAGAGACAACCACACATACACACTTGCCTTGGGTTTGCCTGTGGAACCACTGGTATATAGGATGAAGAGTGGGTCCTCAGCATCACACCACTCAGGCTCAAACTCATCCCCTGCCTCTTGCATGAGTTCATGCCACCACAAATCAACCCCTTGATTCCAGGAGATCTGCAGAGACAGGAAGACAGGAATGGGCAGGGAAGGACGGTGAGCAACTCAAGATGGGAGCAGGAGACAGCCCTACCTGGCACCTGGAGGGTTGGGGTGGGACTAGTAGATGAAGGTACAGGAAGGGAAGGAGGGCCCTGCAAAGATAGAATGGGCAAAACAAAAAGAACCACAGGTTTCCTGGGTTCTTCAAGCACCCTGACATCCTTTCTCCACCCCTACCCACCTCTTCCCTCACCAAGCCTCAGGCTGAGGAGGGTCCCTTGGTTGGTTACTTCCCATCCTTCAATTCTCAGCTGAAATGTCACCTTCTTAGCTTTTACCTAAACAGTATCTGACAGATTCCCATCCCATCCCTGCTATTCTTATTAATCACATCATATTTCTTTCTCAAATAACATATATTTCTAGTGATCTTCTTTGTTTACTTGATTATTGTCTCCCTTGACTAGATTCTAGTGACCTCTAGAATGACAGTGGCATGTCTGCCCTTTTTTCACCCCTAGGTCCCCAACACTTAGTAAAGTGCCTGACACTCAAAAGACATTCAGTAAAATTTTTGTTGGATGAATGACTAGCACACACAGCCTGCATACACACATGTACTATGGGACTAGGGCTCATCAGCAGGGATACAGACACCACACAATTTAGAAATGCAAAATCAGTCAGAGTCTGCAAGTGAGGTGGGCACTTGACCCTGTTAGTAGTAAAGAAATCAACAGATCTTGGTCCAAGCACTTTTTCCTTGTATATCCACAGCATATCCACATTAGGAGGTTCTCTCTTGCCTTTACAGCACTGATACCATGTTTTTTTCCCATAGCAATTTCTGCCTGAGGAGACAGGTTCCATTCAGCAGGAAGCCTTGCTTCAGGAAGGTGGAGAAGGACCAAAGTGGATTCTTCCCAGGAGAGGAACATCCCCCTTTTACTTGATTGCCTTTGATAATGTCTTCTGGATCTGTCATCCTGAAAATTCTCTCAAGTCTGAGACTATTGTCCTTTCCTAGCTACAAAACCTTTTTGCAACATCTTTGTGTGTGTGTGTGGGGGGGGGTGGCATTGCTGGGTATAGAACCCAGAGTAGGCAAGTATCCTACCACCACTGAGCTACATGCCTAACCCTATATCACTTTTTTTTGTGTGTGTGTGTGTGTGTGTGCATGCGCGGGGTACTGAGTATTAAACCCATAGGTGCTTTACCACTGAGCCACATTCCCCAGCCCTTTTTATTTTTTATTTCAAAAGATGGTTTCACTAAGTTGCTGAAATTATCCATGAACTTTCAATCTTTCCTCAGCCTTCTGAATTGCTGGGATTACAAGCATGTGCCATGATGCTGAGATATATCACCTCTTTGAACACCAGTTTATTTATTTATTTTACATATTTATTTTTTAGTTTTAGGAGGACACAATATCTTTATTTTATTTTTATTTGGTGCTGAGGATTGAACCCAGTGCCTCATGCATGCTAGGAGAGCATTCTACCACTGAACTATAACCTCATCCCCTAGTTTTTTTAAATCTACTCTTTGCTAGGTAAAATTGGAGTCCCTGGATATATAAAAAAATTATACTGGATTTTAATCCCACTTCTGCTACTTCCTAGCTATGTGCCCTTGAGCAAGTCAGTCTACTTCAAGTTATTCCTTTTTAAATGAGAATAGTCATTTTGGTTTTATAATCTCAAAAAGACTTTGAAAACAGAAGAAAAGGATATTATTTTATAAACATCAAGCTTTGGATTGTTCTGGGGGAAGACTAGTGAATGTCAGAAGGGATAGAGGTTAAGTTCAATGACCACTGGAAGATATACTTACAGGTGTAAGAACATATGAGAACTGTTTGGGATTTGCTTTAGATGTCTCAAAGCCCTTTTATATTCATTGGATTTTTTTTTTAAGTACTTGGGATTGAACCCAGGGCCTCATGCTTGCAGTGTTCTACCACTGAGCTACACCTCCAGCATTTTAAAAAATTTTATTTGTAACAGGCAGGCTCTTGCTAAGTTGCCCATGCTGGCCTCAAACTTATGATCTTCCTGCTTCAGCCTCCCAAGTAGTGGGATTACATGTATGCACCCCCATGGCTTCATTAGATTATTGAATGTTTGATGGTCCTAGATGACAAGTAGTCATGTCAATGTTAAAGAAATGCTCTTACCTGTTAAATTTATTATGTGTATATTTGGTTTAAGAAAAAAATCTCAAAGCAGCAGGGTATAATGGTACACACCTGTAATTCCAACAACTTGGGAAGTGGAGGCCAGAGGATCACAAGTTTGAGGCCAGTCTCAGCAATTCAGTGTCTTGAATTTAAAAGTAAAAAAAGACTGGGGATAGAGCTAAGTGGTAAAGTTCCCCTGGGTTCAAGTCCAAATACAAAAAAAAAAAAAAATCCTGAATTATTAGCCACATACTTTGATAAATCAGAAAATAACTCTCCATCTACTCCTCTTTCTGTACTACCTGCCCCTTACTCTAGAGAATTTGAAGTTCTAGCATACGAACATCATAAGAAGGACAATCCCAGTCCATGTGAGGGTGGCATTAAAAATTTTTAAAAAGGAAAAGAAAGAAAAGAGAGAAGCTGCCTCAGCTATAAAACAAGAATATTTTTGGTGGAAGATCTCTAATTAATGAATTTGTATATATATTGTTATATAATCTTTTCTTTTTTTTTTTTTTGGACTGGGGATTGAGCCCAGGTGTGCTTAACCACTGAACAACATCCCCAGACCTGCTTATTTTTTAATTTAGAGACAGGATCTCACTGAGTTGCTTAGAGCCTCGTTAAGTTGCTGAGGCTGGCTTTGAACTTGAAATCCTCCTGCCTCAGCCTCCTGAGCTGCTGGGATTACAGGTGTGCACCACTGCACTCGACCCAAATCTCTTGAGGTGAGGGTGTTAATGTATTTAAGCAGAACTGTGTCAATATTGATTGGAAAAATGGTGCTGGTCTATCGAACTGTGAATTGTCATAAGGTAAGAAATGGTCAACATTGTGGTTCTGCAATGAGGGTATTCTTATAATTGTGTACAACTGATTCCTTTGTGTGTGTATAAGTATACAGGGAGGAGTGGAGGAGGTGGGGTACTCCAGGCATGGAGTCAATAACGAGCACCAGGAAGCAGGATGAGATCAATTAGTGAAGTAAACTTTGCTTGTAAATTGAGTGTGGGCCTCATAGGCCTATGACTTGGATCCAGGAAAAGATTTGAATTTTCTAAAGTAAAAACTGGGGAGTTGGCCTTTGTCCTTAGGATAGCTTCAGGGAGGGGAGCTGCCAGATA